AACTTAAATCACTAGACCTCTATGAAAAATTAACAAAAATCAACAGTCTTCGCAGGCGCCTCTGCGACGTAGGTTATCTTTCTCGGGTTAAATTACAATTTATAATTTAACTAATCATCAATCATATATTTGAGTAATTAGGGTAATTAGAGTGATTTTTACAATTATTGACGCCAGTGGAATTAAGTTTTTCCAAGATTCGTTTATATTGTACATTGAATACTTCTTTTTGTATATGTAATATTTATGTTTTACAATTATATTGTTGCTTGTGAATCATATTAAATGAATTTCATTGCTAATTCTGTGTTGCTAAGACGACAATGAATGAAGCCGCATTGCAAAAAAACGAACAATTGGGCATAAATACGCGATGTTCCATCAGAAAATATTTTCGACCGCTTCTGGGCGCCTTCCGGCCCGCAGTCGCGCGCGAAACGCGGAACTGGAGAACGGGTAACAAACGAAATAAATGTTCGTACATTGAGCGTAACAACAGGGGTCTGTTGCGCCATGAAAAGTATAAAACAGTCGCAATTACTTCGGCCGTTGCGAGAGTGTGTGCGATAAGTATTAAAACGTGTAATAGATCCATCACGCTGCGGCCGAGGACGAGGAGCAGTTTGCGCACATCAAAATATGTATCGCGCGTTAAATATTTGTGTATTATCGCCCGACTCTCCCGGTGCCGAGGAAAAGATCGCTCGGAATATATGGCCAGGCGACGCTCTGATAATGATAACAACCCATTATAAATCCGGTATCAAGGAATCGATGACATCACTATCGCGCGCCGCGGCTCTTTCAAAAGTCATTTTCGTAATCTCGGAGACGCAGCAAATACGTTTATCGTCGTTCGCGCCGTGAACTATCACCGGTTACGTATTCGGGAACACCCGGCTACGAGGAAACGAAAGGACAATGCGAATTCATTTTCGCCTCGCTTTTTCTCGCTTCACTTTTTCCTCGGAAGAGGCACCGTAACTGGATTCGTTTTCTTTTCAACGAAGACAGCCACTGTTTCATTATTACCGAGACGCGGCTTATCGAGCATAGTAAACGATAGAAAGAGCAAACGATTTCGGCAAATCAAACATTTTTATTCCAACATTCTGATGCGTTCGATACGATATCCAATAAGTAATAAATAATCAAATAATATATTCGAATAAATTCGAAGAAATTACTGTATCCCATTTCTTCCACTAGTAGATAATTAAATAATTATCTATAGTTCAACTAATGTATATGTAAGTTCAATTAAATCGTACCATACTTTGTTGATGTTAATGTTAATGGAACGAAAATATATTTAATTCTGTAATTTCTCGAACTCGTAATCAGTCTTTCATGTTTTTAACTCAATTTATTCCATTGGTATCGAATTGGCGCAATGAAAGAAAATCGAAATTTATTTATTTAAATGCCTCGTTTGAAAACGAAAACCGATGATACAATTAACCCGAGAAAGATAACCTACGTCGCAGAGGCGCCTGCGAAGACTGTGGATTTTTGTTAATTTTTCATAGAGGTCTAGTGATTTAAGTTTAAAATTACTTAAAATATAAAAAAATATAATATAAATGCATTTTATTTTTACAATAATGCCAAACCTTTAAAATGACTAGATTAACTTAAATAAATATCCATTGTTGACGCCTTAGAAAAGCNAAACGTGTAATAGATCCATCACGCTGCGGCCGAGGACGAGGAGCAGTTTGCGCACATCAAAATATGTATCGCGCGTTAAATATTTGTGTATTATCGCCCGACTCTCCCGGTGCCGAGGAAAAGATCGCTCGGAATATATGGCCAGGCGACGCTCTGATAATGATAACAACCCATTATAAATCCGGTATCAAGGAATCGATGACATCACTATCGCGCGCCGCGGCTCTTTCAAAAGTCATTTTCGTAATCTCGGAGACGCAGCAAATACGTTTATCGTCGTTCGCGCCGTGAACTATCACCGGTTACGTATTCGGGAACACCCGGCTACGAGGAAACGAAAGGACAATGCGAATTCATTTTCGCCTCGCTTTTTCTCGCTTCACTTTTTCCTCGGAAGAGGCACCGTAACTGGATTCGTTTTCTTTTCAACGAAGACAGCCACTGTTTCATTATTACCGAGACGCGGCTTATCGAGCATAGTAAACGATAGAAAGAGCAAACGATTTCGGCAAATCAAACATTTTTATTCCAACATTCTGATGCGTTCGATACGATATCCAATAAGTAATAAATAATCAAATAATATATTCGAATAAATTCGAAGAAATTACTGTATCCCATTTCTTCCACTAGTAGATAATTAAATAATTATCTATAGTTCAACTAATGTATATGTAAGTTCAATTAAATCGTACCATACTTTGTTGATGTTAATGTTAATGGAACGAAAATATATTTAATTCTGTAATTTCTCGAACTCGTAATCAGTCTTTCATGTTTTTAACTCAATTTATTCCATTGGTATCGAATTGGCGCAATGAAAGAAAATCGAAATTTATTTATTTAAATGCCTCGTTTGAAAACGAAAACCGATGATACAATTAACCCGAGAAAGATAACCTACGTCGCAGAGGCGCCTGCGAAGACTGTGGATTTTTGTTAATTTTTCATAGAGGTCTAGTGATTTAAGTTTAAAATTACTTAAAATATAAAAAAATATAATATAAATGCATTTTATTTTTACAATAATGCCAAACCTTTAAAATGACTAGATTAACTTAAATAAATATCCATTGTTGACGCCTTAGAAAAGCATGTGCCTCTGAAGCGTATGGTTATCTTTTACGTACGTTGTCATATGTGGTTATCTTTCTAGGGTTAAATAAGATTATAATGAGACTATTAGGGTTGCTTCTAAATAATTAAACGAAGTATAAAACATTTTTTGAATCGGTGAGAAATGCGTCGAATCAACGTGACGAATGGGCGATGATTAAATAAAAGAAACAGATATAAGTGCGAGTCGTAAACACGTTAACAAACAAATACAGTTAAAGAACTGCAGAACGACCATAATGCAGATCTATCGCAAAAACAAATCTGGTTGTTAACAATAGGTTTATAAGTAATTTCCAAATATTTCGATACTCGATTATTGAGATTGAAAGCATACATCGAGCATACATTCTGACCGAAAATCTGAATAAATGTATTCTCATAAAACAGTGTAAAATAATCGCTTTTTGTGCCGGGTAAATCGCAACACTTGATAACTTAATGTGAAATCTGACAATTCCAGACGAGCGATTAAGAAATAAGAGAACGAAGCGACCATTGTGTTTTATGGTGCGGACTCTCCCGAACAATATAGAACTACATTGTTACAGCACGCCAGCTCCCGGAACAATGCAGCTCATTGCTGGGAAGCATTCGAACGGACACTTTCGAAGACTCGAAAGAAGAAAATCGACCGGGACACCCTGTAGATTCGACGCAAGAAATCCTTCCCGCGACTCTATCTATCATCGCGACAAACGACGCCGCCGCCACGAAGACGTAAAAACTGGCGAGCAAGCGAAACGAGTGAACTCGGGGAACTTTCACCCGTTTGGGACCGTTTTCGTCACGAACGGTCGGACCCAAACAATAACTCGACGACAAGAGAAACGAAAAAGGAACCGAGAAAACCGCGAACTAAGCCGCAACGAGCCCGAGAACAGATGCAAATGGGAAACAGCAGGGACCCCGTAACTGTTCCGACTGTTCCGAAACTGACATAGTCATAAGTAGACTGTGGATTGTACGCACTTATGGCAAAAACGTGTAGCTGATATAGAAAATTTTGAAGACACGAGAGGTATTCGATAATATTGTTACAATATTTATAACTCATCAAAACTATTAAAGCGAACAATTTATTTTGATTTGATATTGAAATCGTAACTAGTTGATTTTTTATGGAAAATTAAAATTGTCTGCACCGATTGTACAAAATAAGAATTAAATAACACGACATAGAATCGCTCAAGAAATGTAAATCTACGCGTGTCGAGTCGATAATGATCGTACATGTTAATACGACTAAAATCTCTAAATAAATAAGAAAAGAATTAACTAAAGATTTACATCTTTCATACATAGTTCCAATAAATTAATTATGACAGAGAGCATCTGAGATCTTACCGAATAGAAAGTTTCTCATTTCAATGGAAAATTTGAAGTGTCTGGAAGCACTGTGCTTACAAAAATTCAGTAAGTTACGTTCTCGCACCTTCCTTTAAAAGTCTCATTAAAGTTGATCAATATCTTATACGACAAAGTATAAAAATATATCGATATTCTCATAAATTTATTTACTCGTTAAGATTATATTAGCAATTTATTTACTTGTTGATGGACTTTGTCAAGTAGCGAACGCAAGACGGCGTTCCTCCTCCCGTAATAAAACGAAATTTTATCTACAATACCGTTTGATTATTTAATCATGCCGCAAGTACGCGGTCGTCCACGCGGCAATATTAAAGTATGTGCAATAAATATCTGGCTTCAGATTTATCGCGGCGCACGGTTAAATTTTCACTCCAAGGTAACCGGCTCCGCTACCAGAGGTGTTCGCATAATTGGAATTACGCTCGACACTAGTCGAGATAATAATAGGAGTTCCGCAGAAGAGTTCGCTGGATCGGGCATTGCCCAAAATTTCGTTTCAATGAACGGAGATTATTTTTCTCATAAATCATCGCGTACTCCCCCATAGTCACCGCTAGACTGCGGATCATTACGCAAAATGAACACTTTCATCGTCGATCGCAGGAAGCCGAAGCCGCGCGGAAAATTGATTCTTTCTCGAACAATTTCAGTGAACTGGAAATAATGCATTCTTAAATACTTTCAATCATCTTACAGTTTCAACTCGCATCTCCTCGATTCTCGTCATAAATGCATAAAATCCGCAGTCTAGCAATCGCTATCTTTCTCGGTCTAGCCTTAACTAGGTTTTCGGGCAGTTTTCGGTAACCGCGCGGAATCAATCAGAATCGTCAACTCACATTGATCGAATATCTTAAGCATCGCTTTCTTCAGCTGCATAATCGTGCGCTGAACGTGGCGATACGCCTCGACGAAGTGGAGCAATCACGTTCATAACCAGTGCCGTGGTGCAGGAACCGAGCGGTGCTCGTCTCGCGTGTAACTCGCCGTTTGGAGAGCAGTTCATCCTTCGCGACCAGACGAAAACCACCGGCCTTGTAGTCCTTCAAGGACTGGCGGTGCGTCTCGCAGGACACTGGGTCTGGGTTAGGCCGCAGGCGGCGGCGGCGGCGATCCTCCGCCGCGACGACCGCATCCTTGTTCCGCGACACGCGCCCGTTTCCTCTTCTCTTTTTCTCTGTTTCGCTCGCACGCTGCCGGGCCCGTTGCGGTGTCCGTGTGCTCGCGAAGCGGACGAAACACGCGCGCGCGCGCTCGCGTTCGACGCCGAGTCCCGAGTCCCGAGGAAGCGGCCGCGCCGCGCGGCCTCCCGTCACTTCCGCCGCGCTGGAATTCCGACGATGAATGAACTCGTTCGTGTAATCGCTCCCACGTAGCCGACCGATCTCTCCCGGGACAAATTCTCGGCCCGATAACACCCACGTGGCCGAGGAGCGAGCGCGCGTCTCGCGGTTCGACACCGCTCCGCTCGAAAACCGGCGCGCCGATCGTGGGCAGCCGATCGTCGCTCTCCCGCGGCCGCGAGTCCCTCGAAATCGGTACCCTCCGTCGAGGTCGATCGTTAGTCGTACAAAATGTTCAACGACCGATCGAACCCGTCCGTCAGAGACGTGGCACTAATCGTGACCGCTGCCCGGAAAACCGAGCGACCGCCGCGGATTATTCAGCCGATCCGCCGCGAGCCATCCGTCAAACGGACGCGGGCCCCGTTAATCGCGAAATCGTTTCGGGGAAGAACGTTCCTTCGTTCCTTTCTTTCTTTCTTTCTTTCTTTCTTCGTTCGTGTGCACCTTCTCTTGCTCGTTTTCTTCCCTTTTCTTCCTTTTCGCCGAGTATCCTCGCCGGCCGTTCCGCGAACGACTTAAACGGTTACCGCTCGGGACGCGAGTGCTCGATCACGGTTAATTGCCGAACCGGAATTAATGCGGACCCGTTCGATGAACAGCTGACTCCGGAACGCGTGCGGCGCAACGGCTCTTCCACGGCATCGACGGGTTCATCCGCGACGTTACGAGTTATACTTCCTCTGACAAAGAATACTGACGAGCTGCCTTTTGATTTACGAGCACCCCCTCCCCCCGCGGCCGCCTTCCGCCCGTTGTTCTTTTGCTTTTGCCGCGCGCGAGAGAAAAAGCGCGGGTGGTACGCCTCGTATCTTCGACGACGTGACTCCCTCTCGCTCCCCGTCGCTCTCCCGGTCTCTCTTTCTCTCACGGCCGACCACTCGGCGTCTTCCTTTTTCCGACGTCCGATCGGTTACGATGTTCTTGTCGCCTCGAAGAACGCGCCGCGCCGCGCCGAGCCGCGTCGCGTCGCGTCGCGCCGCTCCACGCGGCCGTCGAATTTCTCGCCTCGGACACACCGACCGTCAACTTCCACGAACTTCCACCAACAATCACCAACTTCCACCGAAACCGCTCCGAAACCGCTCCGAAACTCCGCCGATCTCCAAAGAGTTCCAGCGATCCGCGCCGATCGATGAAACGTCTTTCCTTCCTTCCTTTCTTCCCTTCTTCCTTTCTTCCTTCTTTCTTTCTTTCTTTCTTTCCTTCTTTCTTTCTTTCCCTCTTTCTCTGCTCGACGACACCGTGCACGCGCGTGTTTACTTTCTCGAGCGGAGCGACATCGATCGAGCGAACGATCTCGCCGCGATCGGTAGATCGCCGCCGGATAACGCGACGCACTCGGCTTAGCAATCGTTTTCGTCGGTCAGCCGCGCGTCATCGGGACCGATCGGTGCATCGGGATTCACCGGATTGTTCGCAACCACGGCGAACAATGTTCGAACGATTCACTTGTCTCGACGCGAGCCTTGTTTACCAGGCCGCGCGACGAGCAGTCGCTTTCGGCACTTCGAAACGGTCCCGGAGTAGTGTCGGAGATCTCGCGGAGGATCGACGATCCAGCCGATCCGGGCACACACTGTTTCTCTCACCGATTGCGTACGAGCGACGCGCGTGCCGCGCAATTCGTGCACGTAACGTTCCCCGCGCGAGTTTAACCGCGACTGCCGTGTCGGAATCGAGTCGAGTTACTCTCTCGCGAGCTCGAGCCGAACACGAGCTAGAGGGGAGCGCGACGCGAGACCGACGGAGAAAGACGGAGAGAGGGAGAGAGAGTAAGAGAGAGAGAGGGAGGGAGAGGGAGAGAGAGAGAGGGAGAGGGAGAAAGAGAGAGAGAAAGAGAGGGGCAGAGGGAGGTAGACAATAGAGAGAGACCGACTACGGTCAAACAGAAAGAAGAGTGAAAGAAAGAGTGAGAGAGAGGGAGGGAGGGAGAGAACGAGGATTTCACAGCCAGTCAGAAGGAAGGAAGATTTCAGAATTCGAGTGCTGAAAAAGGAGAAAGTATCGAGATTCGATGGAAGAAAGGACGAGCCAGAGATTTAGTGACAGGGACATAAGGAGAACGAAAAACCTGCGAAATTTTTCAATGCGATGGCCACAATAACGCCACGGGCTTGCGATTTTGGCAGACTAGATGGACGAAATTAACGATAGACTCGCGAACCAATGAAAGCGATTTATGGCTCCTTAGAAAGTTTACGAGGATACGTTTATTGAGATTGTTAGGAATTTTTATCGCGACGTGTTGGCTTTTCTGGGATATAATTTATTATTCGATTAGAAATGCAATTTGTGCTACACGTTTCGCGGTCTACGGATACACGGTACTGAGTTATGGAAGTCGTTTAATATCCGTCTAATGTCTCGGTTCCAATCGTAGATTGTGAGCGTAATTATTAGACTGCGGATTTTTATGCGAAGTGAAACATGATCTGCATCGATTGCACGAAATAGAGAATAAATAACGGATTCGTTCTTTCTTTATATCGTTCGAACGGGTTAGAAATAATGCGTTGACATTTTCAAATTCTTTTATACTCTCGATTTTTTCGAATTGCAACTACTCGATTTGATCGCGAATGCATGGAATATATGGATACATTATGCGTAATTAAATTGCGGACGTATAACGAAAATAACAATTTTTAGCATCAAACGCAGGAAACAAAAAGATTAGGTTAAATCGTAATTAAAAGTAATCTCGTTCTCCCAAAATTTATTCAATTAAATAAAGCAACCAGAAATATTACAGAAAGTTATAAAACGCAATGATGAACACATTACTGAATAAAATTTATTCCAGATATTAAAAAGCGTTTTCCATATTTTCCCGAGAAATCCAAATTACGTTTCGAACTGCCTAATAGACAGTTATTCTTTTCTTAAGCAATTTTAATCGACTGAAAATAATATGTCGGCATTTCTGAAATTGTTTAGTCTCCTTATCATTTTAAATCACAAAGTGCACAATTTTTTCATAACAGCAGGAAGTCCGTATATCAAAAAATTAATCTGTTTCTGATCGATTTTCACAAGCGTGACATTTTTCCTAGCTTGAATTAACCGAAAGAACGAAATGGAATTAATGAACATCGATTTCGCACGGCCATTCCTTGAGCAGATTCTGAAGCAAATTTTTCACGTAAAATGTACGTTATTAGGTGCTAATTATAACTTCATAGTTCGGGCTCCATTAATTAAATTAGTTTGAGTCTGTAGGATTTCTGGAGTTGCTATTCAGCTGCAAAGCTTTCATTAAATAATGAGATGAGAGAAATGAAAATTGTGCGGCTTTCGGGAAACTCGTTGTTCGATTAGATGTTATTAGATGTTATTAATAACAATTTCATCCATGAAAATTCTACAAATGGGAAATATTCTAACAAATAATAGGAGATCTACAAGCTTGAATTTTAAAAAATGCCCGTAAAAAGAGGAACGAACCCCCATCGAACTTTACCTCCGATTTAGAAAAACGCTGCACGAATACGCAAACCACAAAAATAATGCCGGTGTATTGTTGTTCATATATTCATATAAAAATTTGTCGTCTCACGCAAGATTCGAAAAATCGTATTTTGACCGTGGACCTGATCCACCACGGTGCAACGTTTAAAATCCGTCGCGGTGACTTTAACCCCTTGAGTCGTTAGAACGACTCGCATCGCGAGCCGGTCTTTTGTGAGGATCGCTGCAGAAAAAATTATAAGATGGCGTAACGTCGCGCCGCGCCGCAGCGAACGAGGAAGAACACAGCGCTGATCAAACAAAAGTAATCTTTGAACAAAGACTTCCACGAAACGCGCGCAAACTCGAGTGACTCGACACGATCTTTCCCGTTGCTCGATGACATTTGCGTGAACCGGAGAATGCGCGCGGCGGACACAACGAGCATCGAAAAACCTGAACCGCTATAGTAATTCACAGTTTGACTCCGCGTAATCGGCTAGCGGATCCGTTCGTTTCGTCGCGAGTGCGTTTTAGGTGCTGCCGGACGGCGCGTGACGTCTTTATCGCTCCCGGTTTCCGTCTTTCGCGGATTCCCGTCGCAGGCTTGCAAGTGCAACAATATCAGCAAGCATATTGATTACAGCGGCCGGGTAAAAGGCGCGAGATTAATGAAGCTGAACATTTTTTCCCGCGGCGACCGCGCGGACTAAGAAAATAGAGCTCCGCCGAGGGAACGTTGGATAAATAGATTCTTGTAACTAGACCGCGGATCTACATCGCAATTTTTATTTTCGCTTTATTAAATTCGCGCACACGTACACAGCGAGCACACCTGTTTCATTAACTGGAGAGAAATAATGTTACTTTTCGTCAGGCACTTCTGCTTCGATTTTGCAAATTCGGCGCCAGACTGCGGATCTCGGTGTGCATTTTTATTTGTACAAGTATTTTCATTACGTCAAATTTACGGACAGCGAAGCATCTGTTCGATCAACCAGAGAGAAACAACGTTACTTTCTATTATCCACCGTTTTCCTCCGTTTCGCAGTTTCGCAGAGCCAGTAATTGGATGAAAATTCGCAGACTACACTTAGAACCGAACTTGCGAAGGAAATTTCTCCTTTCGCGAGATATTCTGTGAAATTCAAGGTTGGCGAAATTTTCGAAAACGTGGCGTGGATTTATATGGAAAAATTCGTTAGCGTTATAACGAGGCGACGGGAACATACGTGTTCGAGAATTGGACGCACACTAATTATGTTCGTGTAGCGTATTCGGAACAATATTTGCGGAACAATGCGTGCGAAAATACCTTTGTAATTTCAGCAACTGCGAAACGAAAAACCGGGAATTGAAAAATGTGTCTGGCGTTGATCGTAACAGTTCTGATTTTAAAATTATAAAAACTACATAAAGAGAGTGGAAAATGTTTAAACGCATTTTTTTTTAAATTAAGCTCACATTCCAATAAAAACAGCAAGATGTCCAAATATATTCAATCTTGTAGTTCTTTGTACGCGAACACGTGTCAGACATTTTTAGCACTCGGTCGATTGACTGTTAATATGCTGTAGATATATAAGTCTTCTACATACACAGATGTCATCGTACGAGTATATTCCAAGCACGAGTGCAATCCAAAATCAAAGTTACGCGTAGTTCTAACAAAATCTACCGGTTGCATAGGCCGTGGATTTTATGCATTTGTGATAAAAATGCTATAGCATCTAACGAAACCACAGAAATTTTGATATCAGAAACCGATATACAGTAAATTCTCCCTAATTTACTCTAAGCTTGTGCGCAAAAATGGACAATTTGGGAAGCGCAGGTACGATTATTCGAGCCTTGCTTTTATAATTGTTGACAACATGCACCTATAAAAATGAGCCGCAAAGGCTCAAAGGCGAATAATCGTATCTTCTCTTCCCAAATTGCCCCATTTACCCAAGCTGAGGGTCAATTAGGGAGAATTTACTGCAATCCGACATCCAGGCATTTCATTTCAGAGTAAAAGTTCTTCGCATACAAAACGCTACTCGCAGAACAATGCATTCGAAAATAGCTTTATAATTACGCACTTGATTAGTAGTACAAATACTTAAACAAGTACTTGATCCAATATTACAATAGTTTTCGAGCTCGGTTCGAAGGTGAAAAATGCAGAGTTCACGGTGCCGATCGTCGCTTCGGCATCGGACTCCGGGAGAATTCGTTAGCGGGAGAAGGTGTTGCATAAGAAATTCAGTAATTATGCACGAGGCCGAGGGTTCCGGCCTATCCTGTCGCGTAGAAAGCTGAAAATCCGGCTACCGGCGAAATGGCGAAATGTATCGGCGGCGTTCAGAGGCGGCGAAAGATGTATGCATGACGGTCCAGAAGCCGGGAGCCTAGATAAAAATTGTTATCTGTTCTGTTGGCCGTCGGGTATGTGCTTACATCGGCTTTCGTGTGATAACCACGCGCTTGTTCGTCTATTTACGTAAGTATACGAACGGCTGGCAAGACGCGAAGCTGGAGGTAGAAAGGCGAGAAGTGCACGTAGCAGATTATGCTCGGTCTCGTTCCAAGCCTCGAATTCGATCTCGATGACTGGGAGATCGTTGATGATTCCGCAGTTCTTTCCGGTGCAGTTTTTTTCACGGAGTTCGGTTAAATGTAATCTAATTACGCGTTGATTCGAGCGAAATTATCGATTCGACCGTGAGCCGTTCAACTTTCTACAATTTCTCGTTATCGGGATTATCTGCATCAAGTAGATTCCAAATAATTAGACTACCGATTTTTATATATATAAAATGTATTTTTATTGTGCTATTTTGCCGTCTTTAAGTATAATGTCTTGCCTATTAATTTGTCATATTTCCGGATATTTTAAAACATCTGGAATATCATGTGCTTCTTGCCTTTTAAGAGAAGCTGGAATATTAAAACATATAAAATATATAAAATAACTTCATAGAGTTCCAAATGTAATTCCATTCGCGTTGACATGATTAGCGATAGATAAATAAACTGTATCCGGTTTTCTATAGGTTTTTATACGTTTTATTATACTCATTATTTATTTGTTATAGTTAGTCTGGAATAGGATAGCCTACGAGCTAGATTATGCCATTCTCTTGTACGTACTGACAACATTCTTCTGAGAAGCATGAGAATACAGCAAGTAGACAGAACATCGGATGCAGGTTTATAAAATAGCATATTTGATTCTTCCGAAAGCAGCAAA